CAAGGGCAGTAGCTGTTACATGATATATTTTTTCATCTGTCCTTTCATTTATTGAGGGTAAGATTATCAAAAAGTGCTGAAAGGAGTTGAAACACCCAACTACCAGTGAAAGTTCCAACCCTACTGTATATTCTTGAATTTTTTAATCTATTTAACACATTTAAAATAGAGCCAGGCAGTGCTTAAAGATGTTAGTCATAGGAAGAGCGAGGCCAAATAAAAATTAGGATAAATTCTTTTTGAGGGAGTCATGTATATCCTTGACCAAGGGCATCTCCCACACACAGCAAGTGAGTATACTCTGCATTTGCAGACAACAATGAGAATGCAACATTTATGCCCTATGTGCAAAGTACACGTGTGCAAGAGGGCTTTTTTCACACACTTAGCCCCCCCCCCAAAGGTTGCAGGTCAACAGAGCTTTTAAGCATATGCTTACTCTTAAAATCCCAGAGAAGACATAGGGCTATGTTTTCTACCTAAACTTAAGCATATGCTTAAAGAGTTTTGCTGCACTGGGGACATAATGCCATATGTGAAACACTCAGCAAAGTCATGGCAGATTTGCGTGCCGCTCAGTGGCAAATCTGAGTCCTTTACATTAGTGGTGCCAAATTTCTGAATTCAGCCTGCCTGAAGTATTCATCAGTTCCCCCATAGAGTCTGGCCCTAGAGTCCAAACTTCCCTTAAATAAATACCCACACATACCCACACAAAACAGGATGTTCCTGATGGTAATGCTTGCAAAACCTGCCTTGCAAACGTTGAACCCAATGTAACTAGTGCAGAATGATTTTCCTGCATTTGCAGCCAACCTGAAACAACACGTCTAAGAGAAGCAAATCACCCCATTCCACCCAATGAAGTACTGTTGATATAGATGACAAAGCTCCAAGAGACACATTCCAACATTTGGATGCACAACTATGTATCTGGTTGCACACTTAAGACAAATGTATACACCAAATATGATAAATAAAATTCCAAACAATCGGTTGACCTAAAAAGTGTCCTCTCTTATTTTTCTCCCTTATTCAGTGATATTAAATACAACAGTGGCTTCACTAATTGAAAATTCAGTTTCACATAAGACTGCATCCTCCCATCAATCTCTGTAAAACGTTCCATTTTCAGCAGTCTCTATGCACCAAGGCCCTACTTTCCCAGACCTGCCCTCCAGATTATAATTAAAAATTATATTTGGCCTTCTTAGCAAAGCAAGTAATAATACTTCTGCAATAAATACTGTCCACTCAAGTACAGTAGCAACATAATAACATATAAACAAACAGAAGACTTTCCCAAGCTGATTCCTCTTGAATTTAACACTTGTGTTTCATGATGTATGTAACCTTTCAATACTTTGTCTTCTCTCTGTTACGCAGCATTGTCTAGATTTGTATGTCCACGTGCCTTACTTAACCTTAAACATAACTGAAGTCTTATAAAGGTCTGTTTGCAAGGCTGGTAACTAAAATAGAAACTGCAATTCCTTCTAAGTAATATGATAAAAACACAAGACCTAATCATATCACTTTTGTTCATGGAAAAATCTCAAATTGCAGCTAATGGAATTTTTGCCTGAGTAGACAATGTCATTTTGGTCCTTTCCCTTAATAGCAAAAGTATGTATATCATTGATCATATTTTGAAATTAAATTTATGTATAGATTTGTATCGTGTGCCCATCGCTCTATCTGGGCACAGGTTCATATATTAAAATAATATACATAATTTGTCTACAAATCATAACTGAAGACCATTTTTACTCCAGGGATACTGATCTTTACAAATCCCCCTACTACGCCCTCAAGCAAAGGCCTGAGTAAATAGATAACAGAAATTACTAAAGGAAAAATTAAGCTGATACCGACATCAATGGGAGTTTCACAGAGAGCGAGCGGAGTAAAATATGGTACACGGTTTGTAACAAAAGAAGAATTGCTTGAATGCTGGAGACTCAATAGGTTAAGATCATTCAAATTATCCATTAGAAATATCTTCTTAATTTAAGTTGGTGTAATATAAATAGTATTTACACTATTTTCACACACTTCTTCTCCAGTAGATAATGTATTGAATTAAAGAATTTGCAAAAAAATATATATATATCCATAATACACATTCAAATACCGAGTAATTCACACTGTCATCAAATAAAGGCTGCATACTGCTCTTGGTTTCCCTGTCAAACTCCAATGGATGACAATAGAAATTTGGTGAAGAAATCTACCCCTGTATATGGCTTATGTCATCCCACTGCACTATGTACCAGGATGTTAGCCAAAAAAAAAGGCCACCAAAACCAGTAACAGTTAAGGAAGAAGAGAGAAAAAGAGGATAATTGTTTCTAAAAGCATCTGAAAACCTGCAGCCCTTATGTGTGTTTGCATATATGTAACCTGTGTGTTTTAAATAAAATATCACATATGCATACAAAATACACACACACACATCGACTCAAAAGCTCCTCATCTTGCAAATCTTCAATCATTTAGGTGTACTGCTACGGTCAACTGAAATAGCTATGTAAACTAAGCCAGGGCTTGTGGAAGGCCCAGTATCACAGAGATTTCCATAGGAGTTTTAAACATGCAAGCAATGCTGGATTCGTAAATACCTAACTTGCTAACAAAGAGGCCAGAATCCAAGAGCCTGACTCTGCAAAGTGCTGAGCACTGCAACCCCAATCCAGCAAAGCACTTAAGTAGGTGCTTAACTTTAAGCACGGGCCTATTCAAATGCTTAGATGGGAAAAACTATTGATCTCGGTGAATCTTTGCCTCGAATAAATCTAGGCTTCCTTCTCCCGTTTGTACATGTTGTAGGATCTATATTTGAGTTACATCACATTAACACCAGCACGCCACATAAATAAATATGTTATAAACTGTACAAACAACTCATTAATAAAACACAACAAAAAAGCAAAAAACCCAAATAACCCTCCCCACAAAAAAACCAAAACTTGGCAGCAACAATTTCTACAAATGATGCCCGTTTGCTGAAATACTTCCTATAAAATAACTGACTCAAGAATAAAACAGCAGCACAAACCAGAACCGTTAATAGCAATTAATATCCTTTATAAAGAGCATCAGCCTGGTTAAATAAAAATATGTAATAAATAGATCTCCAATCATTTCATACATATTAATGCAAAATGGAGCCAAAAGTCCCAATCGCACAATATCCAAAGTAAAACAAATAAAAAAAAACAGTTACACATAGCCCACGAGTTTAAAAAATCTCCCCTGTATTTAATAAAGCATGATTTTTTAAAAAGAACATTAACAGACTCCTTGCAGTTACTTAATCTATCTTATTGTATAAGACCATCTGTGTTTAAAGTGAATTATTGCTTAATATAGATGCTGCTGGGGCTATAAGCTTAGTTTGTGAACAAAATATGAAACCACCACTGCACATTACAAATCATACAACTGTAAAGAATTTGATTTTTCCCTAATCCAATCTGATAAATAATTAAGACTGAAAATCTTGGGGAAATAAATGTCTGCATTTTAAAGCAAAATTCTGGTGTCCTACTCAAAAAATTGAGAGAAAAAAATCTAAGTCATATCTAGTCCATAAATGGAGGAAGTTTATATTCCATTGCCCCACCCTCTTGAAAAGCATTTAAATTATGTGGCTTGTCAAACCTAGACCCAAACTTGTGCCTTTTTTTCAAATCAAAGTCCTACTGAAATCAATGGAGCTTCTCCCTTAACAAGGACTGCAGAATGATGCTGCTGTAATAATGCACATTTATAATATTATATCTGTAACTTTACAGGGTTAAAGAGGGTTTTTTTTGTCAGGAAATCTTAATATGTATGTAATGCAAAGCAAAATATTTTTCTCCCTCAAGGGAATTTCAAACGTACCCAGTGCTATAAAACAACAGCCTTTATATCAGCTGTGAAAAAAAAGGGATTGGAATTACTTTAATTTCTGGTGACACATTCAGCTTACATTGTCTCTCAAACCACCAAATTAGAAAGGCAGAATTACCTATGGAAAATTAATTCAGCTAATTAAAATGGATCAGTCCTGAACCATATATGTACTGGTTTTTGACACACAGAATACATTTTTGCATATGCATAAAAAAGAGCAGTCTGGACATGTTCTGACTCTTAGCACACAGACCTAGAATTAACTAATAAGTTTAACAATTTGGTTTGTTTCCAATTCTGTAATTTAATTTATAGATGAGCATAATATTTGCACTGTATCAATTAAGTCAGAAACCAAAAAAAAAGGATGAAATTACCAACAACATCTATCTGCACTGGCAACAGGGAAAGCAAAATAGATACACAATCCCCGCATCATGGATGCTTGCTTTCAGGGCTATGTTGCTCAAGAGAATCCATTTAAAATGGTTCAAAACATCAAATGAAACACAAGTTATCTAAACATCAGATTTTCTAATTTTATTAAAAACTCACAAATTTTATCCAACATGTTTTCTTTCATACAGTGAATGGTCTAATATGCACTGGAGGTCACACAAGCTTAGGTTTATTAGAACAATAAAAGACATATGAGAAATTTAATATATAAAGAAAAAAGTAGCAGCTGTTGACTGCATATTTGACCATAAAATTTAAATATTTTGGACTTTTCTTTTAAAGACACAAAAATAAAACCTGTGTGGGTCTATATAAGTCATATTAACAATTCCATGAATGTTCAACAGGACTAAAAATTAGCAAAAGATGTTTGTTTGTTTTTTAACCTTGTAACACTTTTTTTTTTAAACACTTTCTCAGGTTGCTGGTGCAAAGCACCTTACAGTATTTGTGCTATATAATTACTTTATTTGGCAACTGTCTAGGTTTCATGGGTTTTTGTCTTTGCCTTCTGTAAACAACACCTTTTACAAACTAGCACAGTGAACCACAAGCCCTGCAATCTGTCATATAACATCTACAGAAAAGAAAATGAACTATTTTGGTTGGTTGCTCAAAATATTTTGCTTTTGAACAAGAGGTTCTAAAACAGGATTTATTAGTAAAACATTGAGCTCCTGAATTTAACATTATACGTAAACAGTTGACTGTTTTTAGTTCAATAGAGTCTTTTTGTTTAGCTTTTTTTTTTGTGAAGGTAGAATACTTTTTTTTCTGTTTGTTTCAAGTCATTTTAGTTAGAGGTCTGGTTGGTGACCTTTGTTATTATGAGGATTTTTTGTACGTGTAGCTTTGTGAAGGTAGAAGAGTTGATGCTGAGGGCTTACATTTAGTATTTGTTATTTTGGAGAGGAAAAAAAAAAGGGAAAAAAAAAATTGTCCCACCTGATATTCAGCAGGCTGACATTTCTGAAGCTAAAAAGAGTTTGTTGTAGTTGAATTTTCTGAGAGACAAAAATTAACAAACAAATTCATAATGCCAGAACCATCCTTAACTGGGAACGCTAGAGTTCTTGAAGCTTTTTCCCCCCTTTCTTTGACCTTTCTTTTGTTCAATTTTTTTTTTTTAATGAAAAGTTTCTAAGGATTGTGGCTCTTAGGGTGACATCCAACAGGGTACTCAACTTACGCCATCCTATGGTATGGCAGCACTTTACTGTACAGCTTCACCAGTTTCTTTGTCAATGGTACAAAAAAGTCCCTTTTTTGTTTGTTACAACCATATTATGAAGATTGTCCTGGTCTATAGCAAAGCTCGCCTTGGAGTATTTCAGATTCAGTTCGTTCCCAAGGTAAAACTGTCTTAGGGCAGGAGAGATGTTATATTTATTCATTTCTGTACACCATAACATAAGCAGACTAGATGATCATCACTTACTTAGACCCAGTTTGTTTTAAAGCTACCACACAGCCGCTTCATTCATTTCTGGTGGATGTGACAAGTGATTGCCATAGTTAGCACCACCGTTGACGGATATTGAAGAAAATGGAGGACTTGGACCAAAAACTTCTGCAGACATGGAGTGCAAAGAACCTGGCAGGTTGGGCTCGGGGCTGGGTGAGTCTCCTGGCGGGTGCGACATTATGTCAGTGAAGCGCTGAGCCTCACTGGAGGGGTGATGTCCAGGGAGCGGGTGATCCATTCCACCCAGAGGAGTTCCTGATGGCCCGGAAGAGGGCACAAAAGGGAGATCAACTGGTGTCTGCGCTTGAGAAGAAGGAGGTCCTTGTGGGAAGAAATCATAATTGCTTCCTGGGCCATAATACTCGCTCTGATAATCTAGCAGACAAAGAGACAGAGAGAGAGAGGGAGAATAACGCAAGTGCCAGCCAAGTGTGAAACAATAAAAGAAGCCGGGGCAATTCCCCAGCCATGTCCTAAGGGCAAACCGGGTGCCTTGACAAGCTGACCCAAAGCTCACTGAAGTCAACAGGAGCCTTTCCACCAAGCTCACTGGGCTTTGGAGCAGGCCCTGAGACGGGAACACAAATGCCACGCGTATGCACCGAACAAAGAGCCAGGGACCGGCTTTCCAAAGAGCTCTGCTCCCCCCTAGGCAGGAGCTCGATTCGCCAAACGTCTGTGTCCCACAGGAGAACAGCGGTGCCCCCAGGCCCAGCCACTTCGCTTGGATGCTCGGGTGGCTGCTGAACACTTTGGAAAACCTGCCCCAAACGTGGGGTTTGGCACTGGGCGGCTGGAAAGGAGCAGGCCCTCGCACCACGGGGAACAAGCTGGCAGTAAGGGAAGGGAAGCCAGCACAGCTGCCATTTTCCCAGGACACTGGCAAAGTCCTGGCTATTTGTTATTCTTTTTTTCAAACCCCAACATCTCCCCAAAGGAGCTCCCCTCTCTGCCTTTCCCCAGGCGGAGTCATAAGTTCAACCGCAGGGAAAGAAGAGGACCACCCGGGGCCTTTCAAAGTCGGTTCTGCCTGGCTGGCGCCCGAGAGGTCCCTGCCTCCGGATCCCCGCCCAGGCTCCCCGGAGCGGTGCCGGGGGCAGCGCCCTCCCAACGGGGCTGCCTCGGGCTCTGCCGCCCCGCGCCGCTTTCCCCAATGACTGCGGCAAGGAGACGGGACAGCGGGGCGCGGCGGGCGGCTCCGCTCCCGGGAGCCTTTGTGCCCAAACCCCCGAGCAGCCCGACCGACGGCTCCTGCGAGGCTGGG